GAACAATGAACAAAACGAAGGGTACTATACGTATATATACATTGGATAATATCTATATATAATCTATACGTATATCCATATATGATCTTTTAAGGAGCCAAGTGAAAAGTTACATCTCATGAAATCTTACATTTTTATTTTGGATGATTATGAAGAAGAATTTAACATGAGCGCCGACTGCAAGCAGAAAAATGAATAAGGATTCGCAGTCCTCGATCAGATTTGTTTTCCATACTTCCGATAATTTTACAAGCTGAAAATCGCCGATAATAATTGCGAATATCTCTGCGCATCTTTAATGTTTCACCTACCTACGTTAAGAGCAAAGTAAATAAGTTAGTATGTAAGAGCACTGCCGATAAGAATAATTTTAGACGCGATAAAATAATATATACAAATATTAAAGTAACGTTAAAAGACATAATGACATTTATTTTGATTTATTAAATGTACATCACTTAAATGTACGTCACTTTGCTTTCTCTATTTAGGCTGTTATTTTTTATAATTTTCTTAAATATAATATAAGACACACGCGCGCGCGCGCGCGCGCACAGAGAGGGAGAGAGAGAGAAAGAGAGAGAAATAAAACACGTGTGTGTGTGTGTGGGGGGGGGGGAGGAGGGTATGCATAGAGGAAAGCCCCCTATAATGAGATAGGCGTCTAATATGAGATAGCGGCGTTTCTGCTAAACTAACAGACGCTGTCTATTGGTTCCACCATGAATTTATTGCTCTTGGATTGAAAACTATTTAGTAGAAAATTCATTATTAGATCATGCCTATAAAAAAAGATTTTAGAATTTAAATATCTTCAAGTTTCATTGAGATGAGCCTTTAAACATTGTTTATTATTTAATAAATAAATTTGGCAATAAATTCTTCATGTAGTGATAGAGTAAGGTCATACTAATAGAAAAATACAGGATATATTGAATTGCTTAATTACAGAAGTTAGATTTGATAATCGCAAAACCGTAGGGCGTGGAAATTGTAATATGAGATGCCCAGGGTATTTCTAATAACCCAAATTGTTGCTAAAGTATAAATGTTATTATATAATAATAAAAAGGAAACTCGGAATGAACGGCAAGTGCCTATTTTTGTGATGCTTGATTTCAACTACCTGAAGAAGAGTTCTGGGTATAATGTATCGCATACTCATTTTTCGCCCTGGCTGTGTTTATTTGTTTTTTAAGAAATATTAAATGAAGTTTTTTAGTTACAATACTGACATTTAACTTTGTTTTATTATCGATTTCTCAAGGCGTCTCATATTAGGAGCACAATTTTTTGACTTTGCGATTTGCTCATTTTTTACATTTCTTTAATTTAAAAAAAAAAATGAAATTTGAATTAAATTTTCTATAACATTATTTTAAAGCTTATTAAATTCCCTTCAAAATGACCTATTATTTTTTTAAATTCTGCCCACAGACTTCTAGCATTTACCCAAAATGAACTTATAATAGGAGCCTTTCCTCTATAGGTAATTTTATATAGAATACATATGTATATACGTTCAAATTGTATTTTTTTTGTATGTGACATAAATATTTAACATATCTTCGATATCTTAAAAAATTTAGAGGACTATTTCGCGAAATTCATACTTATGCTTCTTCACAAGATTACACTATTATAAAAAATAAAAAAAAATTTACCTCAAGAAAACCGATGCTGGCAACAAATATTGTAAATATGGCCGGTAACAGTGTCTTCTCAAATATACTTTGCGTCGGCCAAGTACCGAGTTTCGACATGAAGATCTTGTTAATATTGTAATAATATTTTACGGCCGATTGCATCTCTCCGCCGTGATTTTGCATCGTGAATGTCGAGTTCCCTCAATTTCCCTCAAGATCCAGCTGATATTTTCCGAACAGTCTCCTATATTCAGATACTATATTGCGCGTATCCGCTAATAATATACTACGTCTACGCTAACAATGTCTAGATAATCATAGGCTGTCGGAAAAACGCATGCCAATCTCGTCCCTTCATTTTCTATTTATCATTGATGGAGAGAAGAAAAAGAAGACGTACGCAGAAATTGTACTTCGCGAAACGTCAATCACTACGGTGACACAAGTGATATTCGTCCACATATGTCCCACCCCTAACTCACGTTGCATTAGGAGTATTATGTTATTTTCTTCTTTTCTTTCTTGCAATACCATATAATTTTTCATGCGTATAGTGTCACACTTGATAAGTACAAGATAAACGTGACAGGAAAATCGAGCGATACGAAGAATTGCGCGATATAAGCGAAACAAATTACGTGTACGAAGATTTATGTAATACAAACGGACACATATCATCATAAAAATTTAACTAATAAATAATTCATTTTTAATTGAGTCTTATTATAGCTTAATGGTTTTTACAACTACCGCGATTTAAACGTGCCAAGAGACAATTGTATCTTATTATGTGTCAAGTATACATGCAAAGTGTACGGCAAAACAGTGCATCTACATTATATTAAAAAAAGTGCTTTTACTTTTCATTTACGTGTTTTATGAACGGAGATATTGTAACGCAAAGAATAAAATGGTAAATTTCACTTCAATTAAGATATATCATCGTCAAACATCAGAAAATGTTGACCTTTTCAGATTTTGAACTATACCAGCACACGTTCCGTAAGATTAACTGAAATCAAGAATCTAATTAAAGACAGATTCTAGTTAAAACAAGATAAAAATAAGACAAATTTGCATTGAGAAGGAAAATAATTCAGTACTTGCTTCCTAAAAAAAAAAAAAGATATAAACCATATGATAAAAAATCTCATGCAATAGAAAAGAAGAATAACGCTGGAAGGAAAGGGAAATTCTTTGGGTAGCCCAAAAAACAAGAAACCGTGACGGAAAGAAAAGGGGGACTCTTTAAATGACACAAAATACTTTTTCGCAAGAAACCATGGTTATTATAAAATATATAAAATTGAAGGATTTTCTCTTTATAAATATGTTGTACTTGCACAATGAGTAGATCCAAGATTATATTATTTCAATTTATTGCTATAGAATAAATTGTGTCAATTTTTGAAATTAAGGTTATCTTTGCTTCAGATGACTAAAAAAAATGAATATCCTATTATTAAAAAATAACATAGTGTAACATTTTTTTACATGTTATATATGTCTGATAAAATATTCCAACACGAATATTACTTATGACTTTTGGTTTACATCCAATATATGAATATCATGACACACATAAAATAAAATAATGTAATACGTTTTTTGACATAAAATCATATATGTCTGATAAAATATTCCAACAAAAAATTTATAATTTTTAGTTTACATCCAATATATAAGTATCATGATATACATAAAATCTTAAGTAGTAAAACATAGCAGTAAGCGAATTGGTCAATCACAGTAGAGACCGTAAAGCCGTAACGTAAACAGTAGTAACATGTTAATTTTCTTACAGCTTACGTTTTAGTACTTATATTTTTTGTATAGCATAGCCTTAATGATACACAACAATCAATAACGATGAGATAGCAAACAGTCGGCAAATATTCGATAGCAACTGCATCTCAAATTCAGCAAAAAAGGAATTTTCCTTTAAAAGGGTTTACTTTTTATTAAACTACATTTAATTTAACCCATAATTAATTCAACCAATATAACTGTTAAAAGCAAAATTTCTAACATAATTCATGACATCAACTTTTTTTTCTGCGTGTTAAATGATAAAAAATAATAATTCTATTCATGTCAACAAAATAATACAAATATTATTTGATAAATTAATCGGTTTAGAAAGTCACATCTTAGTCCAATTTTACTAGTTGGTAAATATGAACTATTAATTTATATTTTCATCTACACATCTAGGTTCATCATCTATATATAAATTAACTGTCGATTTAAATTAGAAATATGTTATTTGTATATACATGGGCATGCGTATGTGCGACAAAAATGTTGATTCAAAATGCAAATATCAATATTCTACCAATGTATTAAGTCATATAATTCAGAAACATGTTCAGAAGATATTAAAATGACGATTGTATTCTGGTAGGAAATTTATTATATAAAAAATTGCAACAGATTTTATTATAATAAATCAAATTGATGAATTCTGAATAATTCCTTTAATATAAAGTATAAATTTTATTATTGGAGTAAAAATAAAACAAATAACATTTAAATATATAAAAACTTACTTCATTAATTGAATATCACACTTGCATTATCAAAAACCTAGTTCCACCTGAGAAAGCTTTGGCATCGATTAAAAAGAAAACACTATTTCTCCAACCTGATGCTTCTCCAGTTTTGCTAGGCACTTTTTTGGAACAATATTTTTTTTATGTCACATAGAAAACACAACAATATACATTAAATGCTTATAATTAAATCTTGTTAATCGAATATTAACTTGAGCCTTTTGAATATCGTTTCCAAAACTTTTTTACATCATCGTGACCAGCTTTGGTAACCACCATCGTTCTTTTTCTACGAGATAAAGAATATATTTTGTTATTAAATGCAGCACTTATTATAAAATTTTTCTCTCAACAATTATTACATATGTAATATATATTTTATAAACTATTTAAAATATTTTAAAATAATAATTACCTTTCACTTTGCCAAATTAATACTCCGGTTGAGACTGCATGATCTCTGAGAACTTCGAAGTCAGTTTGCGAAAGAAATTGACTATATAGAACTCCTTCGCTGAACAAAAATCTATTTCTTTCATTTTCCCATAATTTAATTTGATCTACAATTGTAGGCGGTAATATAGGTGGTCCTGCTTCTATCATCTTACTATGTGCATGTTGTCGCAAATAGCTGTTGATATAAAATAATATGTTTACATAGTTTTGTACTTGGCTATTTTAAGCCGTTAATATAATACATACCCTACTATTTGAGAAGCAGTTATTCCACTCTTTAATGCTTGTCTTACCGAATCTCTTGTTAATATCGAAACAACTACATTTGGAAACCTAAATACAAAATAATATAATTGTTTAAATTTTTTATCTTGTACAAGATGAGTTTCATATTATGTACAGAGTATTTGCACTTACCTGTACACCATTTCACAGAAGAGTCCAAGCAATGCAACTTGCAAGTTCGAGTTTGTATAAGCATAAACTCGATAATTTGTTTCCACAATTATATGCCCTTCGTTGTCTGTATCTCTGGTTAAAGGTTTAGTTTCGCCAGTAGCGATGTTTAACGCTAATCGAGTTGGATAAAACCTTATAACATAAATTAATAGAAATATAAGTAGATTCGGATTATTTATAAATAACACGCATCATGTTTTATTAATATATTTACCTTCCTGCTTTTCGTTTTCGTTGATATACAAGTCCGAATTCTCTTAAATGTTGTAAAAATGTTAAGAGTCCTTCGGACATGCCTTCGGTACTATAATCTTTACCGAGGGTGGAAAAATTTAATTGAAACAGAAAGGTAAGGCATTCTACCAAATCAAGACCACGTGCTTCAATTGTATCAAGATATTGTAGAATAAAATACCATACCTACATAAAGAGAATATTTATAAAATAAATCATATTTAAAACAATATACCATACTTGTGCACACAGATATAAAACGAATAAGAAATGAATAAGAAATTATTCATTATATAAGTATGTAACAATTAAATACAATCTAAACATGAAAATATATCTCTGAGACAAAGAAAGTATGTCTGATAGAGAACTGATAATTACCTGCGAAGCTGTGTCTAAGAGCAAAAACTGAAAACCAGCTTGCGTTATAATTGGACTTCCATCAGCTTCGTCTCTCTTCATTAAACCGGCATGTAAAAGAATCCTTACAGCATCGGCAGATATGCCTTGTATTGTAATATTTTAAAATATGTTAGAAATATTTCTAATTTCTTGCCAATTTTATATACAAAATATGATTAAATTACAAAATAACGCAGAACAAAAATGTATCTCAGAAACAAATTATGTTAAAAAAATATTTCAAATATAATTATATGTATATATTTTTTACAAGCATACAAAATTTCAAAATTATTAATAAAAATGTCTAGTGTAATGCAAGCAACTGAATTCATTATAATACAGTCACGATACGTTTTTACAAAATCTTAAGAAAATCATACCCTCCTGCTGCTGAGAACCAACCATGTAGTGTAAGACACATTCCCACCTTTCCAACGCATAAGAATCCAAAAAGGCCACGTCTCTCGGCTTACTGTCGGTTTCTAGTTGATTGGACATGGTCCACGGTTTGCCCCCACCCAGAAGCACAATCTTTAAGTTCTTCTTGAATGTATTGTTCAAGGTCCAGCCTGGTAATCCACCAGGTATGGACGCTTCTTTCCACACATATAGCTCGTTCAAGACTTGTACCACCTTCTGATGCTCCTCAAAATAGAGCTTGGAGCACCAGGATGCTATAACTGCCTGTGGTACTGGTTGCTCAACAAACAACAGTCTCATAACATAATGCTTGGCAATAATAGGCAACTCGCGGAATACAGCTAGACATATAGGCGGCTTATGATACAATTTGTTCAGAGTTTCAGGACTACGAGATTTTAAATATTCCTGTAGATTCGTGCACTGCAGGCTGTTTGGCCGTAACAGATTCTTGCCGGTTATTGTGCTAGACATGTTACTAATGTTCCGTCGTTCAATTGGGCGAACTATCACTGTGCAATTTATCTTGATCTAAATCTAATTGTGATAACAAAGAATATGCTTCGTGAGCTTTTATAAATTGTAAGACTATGTTCTTCCAAGCGCATTATCTGCATCTGTAATCATATATAAAATACAGAATAACATTTTCTGTTTGCTGCATTTGGATCGTAAAATAAATAATACTTACTTGTAAAGCATGAACATATTAAGTTGACTGCAGTTTGTATAAATACTTTTATACATAATTCCGACATATTTTTAACACCGTCATGACACTTCGATCTGACTCTCTCCTTTGACGACAGATTCAATCGCGTGATTTCTTTCTTTCTTCTTGCGTTTCACAAATCACTGTGCAATTTATGGTATTTCAACGTGCGAACAATACAAACACGTTACGATTTTATTCTTTTATAATAAACGCGTTAGTCGTGTGTTTAACACGTAACAGAAGTATTATGCTGTTTCGAAAAAAATTTGTGTGACAAGTATTATTTTCATCACGGCTTTGGGTTTATATTCGATCCTTCGTACATTTTACTTGACATGAGATACTATTTATCACAGAATTTCTTTGTCATTACACTTCCATCGGTCA